AAAAAAAAGAAAAGAAAAATAGTACCTCTTCAAACATGATAACTTTCTTCTCTTTCTTCCAAAGCAACATAGTATGCAAATAACAATTAAAAAAAATCTTTAAAACAAATTTTTTTTTTTGAGACAAAGTCTCAAGCTGTTGCCCTGAGTAGAATGTTGTGCCATCACAGCTCACAGCAACCTCAAACTCTTGGGATTAAGTGATTCTCTTGCCTCAGCTTCCTAAGTAGCTGGGACTCCAGGACCCCACCACAATGCCTGGCTATTTTTCTGTTGCAGTTGTCACTGTTGCTGTAGCTGGCCCTGGCCGGATTTGAGCTGGGTTCAAACACTCCAGCCTCAGTGTATGTGGCTGGTGCCCTACCCACCGAGCTATGGGCACTGCCTAAAATAGATTTTTTTTAAATCACCTACAGGTCTCTTATAAAACTTCTCAAGTTAGTCTCAATAGTGTGTCCATTTGTAATGCACACGCATCACACTACAGTTAAATTTTGAGAACCTAAAGTATTAGAAGCCACAAAAGAAAATAAGAAATAATAACTTTACTCTCCATTAAATTATGGCTAAGGTTTCATTATTTAAACAGAACAAAAACTAGATGGTATTTTTAAAAACTCCAACACCAAACAGTAAGTCAGGCAAGAAATATATACTACCACTTATTAGTGGTGGTATATATTTAGTATTTATATTAGTAAGTCTTATTAGTAACCACAAAGTAAAAAAAGAAAATAACTTACCTCTACAGCAAAGATTCTTTTGTCACGCCCATATAATTTCATCTCTTCTGGAAAATGCTGAAAAGCATTTATGTAAGGAATATGGTCCTCTTCAACAAATCTGCATTTTTAACAACAATAAAAGTTTCAACGAGAGCTATGTACTGACTTAGAGTAAACACCTTCAGGAAAAAAGTCTCTTGAGTATCAATATTTCAAAGACAAAGTAAAAATCAGTTAATGTATTCTACCTCCCATATATTTTTAATGATGATACATCTGATCTATCCTTCTCAGTACCCATGCATGGGACTACTGAGCCAATTATCAAATAATTCTCTTAAGTTCCTAACTTAATAGATTAAATTTGTCTAAGAAGTAGGTATGTTACACGTATCCGTCAGTTCACCACCAGGCTTTCCAAAATGCTATTCTTTCTACCCATAGGTTCCCTCATGTGACAGGCTCCTCCTCAGCTTGTAAACCACCACTTTAGAGAGGGCGTCCTTGGATGATCCCTGTCCTCGATGATAGCGTGCTTACCTCCCTTGTCGGCCCTTCTGGTGCCAGCCCCTAGAATGGTGTGTGGTAAATGTTTATTGCTGGAAAAACCATTAAGGGGAGAGACCTTGCCTTTTTGTTCACCACCCCACTCCAATGTCCTGTATACATGAGATCAAATATTTTGAATCAATTACTGAATTTGAAGAAAAAAGCAAACACATACAGACAAACATATTTATAATTTATTCATTCATTCAAGAGAAATTTACTGAGTACCATATTCCCAGCAATATTCTAGGCTACAGAGATACGGCAGTGAACAAAACAGAAAAGCATTCTTGTTCCCATGAAGTGTGCATTCCAATGAGAAAGACAATAAAACAAATGAATGAAACCTATAGTGCACATATGTTAGGTAAGGGAAATGTAAAGGAGAAGAGTAAAGTAGGGAGGGAGACTAGAGAATGAGGAATAGAGGTCTTGCAACCATGTCACGTATATCCTTGTATCTATACTACCTGTAAGATTTTTAAAATAAAACAATTGTTAAGGAAAATAAGTATACAAAACATATTGCCATAAAGTCTTTGCTATTGTTAGAGTGGGGCTGACATTTGGCTGTAAGATTTCGGTTTTTTTTTTTTTGAGACATAGCCTCATTTTGTCACCCTTAGTAGACTGCCCTAGTATCACAGCTCACAGCAACCTCAAACGCTTGGGCTCAAGCCATTCTCTTGTCTTAGCTTCCCAAGTAGCTGGGACTATAGGCACTCGCCACAGTGCCTGTCTATTTTTAGAGATGGGGTCTTGCTCTTGCTCAGACTGGTCTCAAACTGGTGAGCTTAAGCAATCTACCCACCTCAGCCTCCCAGAGTGCTAGAATTACAGGTGTGAGCCACTGGGCCAGCCTAGAATTCCTTTTTCTTTCTTTTCTTTTTCTTTCTTTTTTTGTTTGAGATAGAGTCTCAAGCTGTCACCCTGGGTTGAGTGCCGTAGCATCTTAGCTCACAGCAATATCAAGCAATCCTCTTGCCTTAGTTTTTTCTATTTTTAGTAGAGACAGGGTCTTGCTTTTGCTCAGGTTGGTCTCAAACTAGTCAGCTGAAGTAATCTACCTGCCTTGGCCTCCCAGAGTACTGGGATTATAGGCATGAGCCACAGAGCCCGGCCTCCTTTTTTTTTTTTTGAGACAGAGTCTCATTCTGTTGCCCAGGCTAGAGTGCCATAGCATCACCCTAGCACCTACCAAGACCCCTAACTGATGTTTTCTGTTTTCAGTAGAGATAAGGTTTTGCTCTTGCTCAGGTTAATCTCAAATTCTGTTGCCAAAACTAAAATACTATGGTGTCAGGCTAGCTCACAGTAACCTCAAACTCCTGTGCTCAAGCAATCCTCCTTCCTTAGCCTCCCAAGTAGCTAGGACTACATACAGGAATCCTGACCAAGCCCAGCTAATTTCGCTATGTTTAGAGAGATGGGGTCTTGCTCTTGTTCAGACTGGTCTTAAATTCCTGAACTGAAGGGATCCTCCCACCTTGGCCTCCCAAAGTGCCAGGATTACAGGTGTGAGCCACTTCGGCTGGCCTTAAGACTAGTGTAAGTTAAATAGAACTTACATGGCAGTTAATGTGTTAATATTATTTTATATACAGGATATAATGTACATCTATCACTTTAAAACTATCTAGTATTGATTGTGCTAATGACCTCATAAGTTATTTAGACTTTACCCCCATGTGATAATACATGACAGCACTGGGTGGAGAACTAGGGGTTCAGAGATGAATAAGAGATGAAGAGCCCCCCATGAGACAGACAGCCTGCAGGTGATCCAGCAGAGACACTGCCACAATGCCGCCACAGATGTATGCTCAGTGTAGTGGAAGCGGAGGAATGAGAAATCTGCCCAGGGGAAGCAGAGATGCCTGCACAGAGAAGTCCTGGGCATCTGGAGTTCAGAAAATGTTTCACCCTTTATAAATAGTGCTACTTGTGACCTATTTCTAAAATTTTTTATTTCTGAATTTGAATCTCCTTTTAGAAAAATATGTACTTTTCCAGAACTGAAATCAAAGTTCTGAATAATCTATTTCCCCTTTTTTGATTTTTTATCAGATGGTCCTCTGGATCAATCCTGGAAGTTGACAGGGAGATTGGCAGAGACTGAAAGTATCCCATACATCTCTCCTGACCAATAGGCCACTGTATTAGCTGTGTCCCCTGGAAACAGTGTCTCTACTTATAATTTTGTATTTTTCCACAGTTTCAATTTGTGACAGACTAAAAATTTTACAAATTAGTCCTCATTGCAGATAATCAAAAAAGCAGTGCATTAAAGTTGTATCTACCTGTAAAAATACCCTGAACTCATTCACCTCTTTCTATTTCCATTATCAGCATCCTAATCCAAGCCAACATCACTTGCCTGTGTGCTTATGTTGGCAGCGGTGCACTAACAACCCAGTAAGGTTTCATAACCTTGGTACATTGGTATCTCACAGCTGTGTTTGTGTTGATGTGTGGCAGTGTCTTGCTGAACGGCGTTCATTATTAAGGTTGCATATTTTTGTGTGCCCTATGACAGCTCATTCCACAAAAAGAGTTCCAAAAGTGCTTTGAAGAATGAACTAGTTCTGGTACATAGCTTCCCCAAGGGAACACTTCAAAGGTGGCCATAATGATATTCAGCCATGAGGTATGTAGCACTTTTTCTAGAATGAGTTCATGAACTTAATTATTAGAACTTATATATGAATATATTGGTCTGGCCTACAGTAGACAAGTCTAGACTATAGACATAAATTTGGGAGTCATTAGTTAAAGCCTTGGGAGAGGATGAAATCACCCAATAAGCAAGATCAGGTTTTTAAATTTAAGAGTAAAATTCACTGAATCATAGGCTATTTGCTTGCAAAGTTAATCACACCTGAGAAAGCCTTGTCATTTGGTTGACGTGGCCAAATTTATAGGCACTATCATCATTTACTGAAGGCATTTTATTTAATCAAAGGTCCTAATACCAATGATAATGATGATGGTGGTGACAATGAAAACAAAAACAATAATGACTAGCACTGAGATCTTATTACATGCCAGAAATTGTTCTAAGTTCTTTTCATGTAGTACTAATTACTGAAAGTAGTTACAACTCTATGAGGTAGTTATTATTGGCCCCATTTTACCAATGAGTAAACAGAGCAAGAGAGATATAACGTACTTGAGATCACACGATAAATAAGTGGCAAGGCCAGGATTTGTACCAAAGAGTCTAACTCCACATCTATGCTCTTAAAAGCACTCTATACATTGACTAAACCCATATGTTATTATTTAGAACACATACAAAGCAAAGAAAAAAGGTAATACATTAATGATTTTGGCACACCTTCTATTAAATGAGACATTCTTATGCACAATGACATAATTTACTTGTTAACTATAAAATTATTCAGGAGTGTCCAACCATTTTTTTTCTCTGCTGCACATTAGAAGAATAAGAGTTATTTGGGGCCACACATTAAATACACAAACACTAATGAAACCTGATTACAAAAAAAAAGATCCATGCCTACTTTTTATGATATCTGACATCAGAGATAAAAAAGTCCTTACAAAATCAGCATGTGGCCCACAGGCCACAGGTTGGAGATCCCTAGATTATCTTGAAAAATAGAAATGCTTACTATCTATCTGGATAAAAGGTTCTTCCAATAGTTTTGTTTCTAGGGTTTCCTTATTTACAACCTAAAGTTAGAATGGATCTTGCATAATTATTTAATAATAACCATGCTAATGTAAAGATCATCTGTTCTTCTTTTCCTAGAAGTGTCAATAAAACTCAGGTACTTTAATGTCACTTTTCTCTTCAAAACATTTTATTAGATTATTATTATAATTCTCCAATAGCCAATGTGACGTAAATACTATTATTTCTGTATATAAATAAGAAAATCAAGAAGATAAATATTTAGCCCAGAATAATTAGATTTTGGAAATAGAACCCAGGCTATATAATCTTTCCAGACCCTTCCTCAAGGTAAGTCTTTTTATAAAATTCAAAACAAAGTTTGCCTCCATAATTCACACAATCAGCAAAAACATTATCATGTGATAGGTTCCAGCTTACCTCAAGAGATCTGAAAGTGTCATTGTTTCTCTCTGCCAAAGTAATGACAGATAGCAGAGAGCAAGCGTCTTTGGCACAGTCATCTTCACAATTCCCTTCTCCTTTCGTTGTGAGTATTCGACTCCATCAATAGATCCAGAACAGACAGACGTCATTTCTTAGGGGATAAATTGAGATTCTTAAAAATGAAAGCAATCATTTGGGACAATAAAAAATCCAGACAGGTACATGGTATTTTAAATACCTTAAAAGTTAGGTTATAATCAATATAACCTTTACAAAGAGCAATTTAGCAATAAAGCGCAGCAAATGTTTAGAAAAAAACTGGCCAAGGATTAACTGTGGATTATCTATGGGAGTGGTATGGGATAGGAATCTAAAGAGGGATTTGAACTATTTTTTTCATAGTGAAAAATTTTTATTTTTATTTTTTTTTATTCTTGAGACATAGTTTCACTCTGTTGCCCTGAGTAGAGCGCCAAGGCATCATCATAGCTCACAGCAACCTCAAACTCTTGGGCTCAAGCAATCCTCCTGCCTCAGCCTCCTGAGTAGCTAGGAATATAGGTGCCCACCACGATGTCCAGCTAAATTTTTCTATTTTTAGTAGAGACAGAGTCTTGCTCTTGATTAGTCTGGTCTCAAACTCCTGAGCTCAAAACAATCTACCTGCATCAGCCTCAATTTTTAAAACAAAAAAATATACCATTATAATGCATGGCAAAAAATGTATAATGCCTTTGAACCCATGTTTAACTCCCATATTTTCTTCTCTGAGAGGCCTCTTCAAAACTCTTCAGCTGCTGGGTGCAGCGTCTCATATCTAAAATCTTAGCACTTTGGGAGGCTGAGATGGGAGGATCACTTGAGGCCAGGAGTTTGAGCTTGCAGTAAGTATTCATAATGCCATTATGGTGACAGAGTAAGATCCTATCTCAAAAACAAGAAAACAAAAATAAACAACAGGTTCAGTGTCCATAGCATAGTGGTTACAGGGCTAGCTACATACATAGAGGCTGGTGGGTTTGAACCCTGGCCTGGGCCAGCTAAAACAACAATGACAACTGCAACAAAAAATAGCCAGGCATTGTGGTGGGCACTTGTAGTCCCAGCTACTTGGGAAGCTGAGGCAAGAGAATCATTTAAACCCAAGAGTTTGAGGTCGCTATGAGCTGTGACGCCACAGCACTCTACTAAGGGCAACATCATGAGACTCTGTCTCAAAAAAACAACAACAACAACAATAGAAACCTCTTTAGCTAAAGCAGCACCTCTCCCCACCCCCGTCCTCCAGACATCCTCCACCATATGACATTATGGTATTCTCATTCATTCATTCAATCAACAGATACTTATTCATCTCATTCTTGATGCCACCCTTCTATGTCTTAGGAAATATCAGTGAACAGTGTCTCATCTCTTGGAACTTACACTCTAGTAATGGGAAACCAATAAATAAAAAATATAATTGATAGACAATAGTGCTATCATAGAAAAATTGCAACATGGGACCTACAAAGTGATAGAAGGGAGGAGAAATGTGCTATTCTTTTTTTTTTTTTGGAGACAGAGTCTATGTCGCCTTTAGTAGGTGCTGTGGTGTCATAGCTCACAGCACCCTCCAATTCTTGGGCTTAAACGATTCTCTTGCCTCAGCCTCCCAAGTAGGTGGGACTACAGGCACCCACCACAATGCCTGGCTATTTTTTGTTGCAGTTGTTTAGCTGGCCCAGGTTGGATTTGAACCTGCCACCTTCAGTGTATATACTGTGCTATGGGTACCAAGCCGAGATGTGCTATTTCATATGAGGTCCAGAGGAACCTCTCAGTGCAGAGCCCAGAATGAATGCAGAAAGTCATCCCTTTGAGATAGGGTCTCATTCTGTTACCCAGGCTGGAATGCAGTGACATAATTATAGCTCACTGCAGCTTTGAATTTCTGGACTCAAGCAATCTTCCTCATGCAGCCTTCCAAGTAGCTATGACTACAGGTATGTGCCACTGCACCTAGCTAAATTTTTAAATTGTTTTTTTGAAAGACAGGGTCTCACTATATCACCTACACTGGTCTTGAACTCTTGGCCTCATGAAGTCCTCCTATCTTGGCTTTCCAGAATTCTGGGATTATAGGCATGAGCCACTGTACTAGGCTGAGAAGTATCTTAAGGATGTGGTAAAGAATATCTAATACATGAGCAGGAGTGAATCTACAGAAACAGCAAGGAGGCCAGTGTAGTGAGAGCATCATGGGTGAGGAAAATTCATACAAAATGATACTGGAGAGTAAGAAACTGTATCACATAGGGCTTTTTAGATCATTGTTCATACTTTGGATTTTATTCTAAGTACAAGAAGTTTCTGGAGGAATATGACCTTATTTATGTATTTTAAAAGACCACTCTGGGTGCTATAAGAATAGATAATGGAATAACTATAAGGGAGCAAGAATGAAACAGAAGATCACTCTTCTAGGAGAGTGGTGAGAGATATTTGAACTGGAGTGGCAGCAACAGGTGGTGAGAAGTGGTTGGATTCTGGACAGATTTTGAAGGCAAAGTCAAAAGGATTTGAGAATAGCCTGGATGTAAAGCATGAGAGAAAAGAAGAATAATTCTAATGTCAGCCTGAGCAATAAGTAGAATGGAGATGGCACCTACTAAGACAAGGAAGATGGCAAGAGCTATGAGAATGGTGAGCGTGAGATCTTATTAAATATACCGATGGAAATACTGATTAGGTAGTTGAATATAAAAATCTATAGTTTAGAGGAGAGGTGAAATTAGAGATAGGAATTTTAGAATTTTAGCACATAGCTAGTGGTTGATTAAAGCCATGGCTCTAGGTGAAGTGACCGAAGGAGGGCAGATAAAGAAGCAAGACTAGGAATGACCTGAGAAATTGAAGCTTTCTTGTACATAAAGTCTCAAAATCATTCCTCAAAATCCCTTTCTTCAGTAAATCCTACCTTCACAACAATTATCAGTAGCTGACATTTTAGATTTTCACTATGCATTTGCCACCTGTCTCCTCCCATTACAATATACAATATAAACACCTTGGAGGCAGACAGTCTTGCTCACCACTCTGTTCCCAGTGCACAGAACAATCCCTAGCACAGAGTATAAACCCAAAAGGACAAATTGCGCCAATAGTTCTAAGATTTCAGCCTAGTGAAATGATTTTAAAAGCTTTAATTACAGTCAAGGGATGTTGTAGCAGCACTGTTCATAATGTAAAAAAAAATTTAGAACAATCTAAGAGGCAGGAATAAAAGTTTGATTAAGTAATTCCATACAACAGTATACTACACAATTTCCATAATGCTTTAGATTAGTGGTTCTCAAAGTATAGTCCCTGGGGACCAGGATGGATGTCTAACTGCTTCTTAATGAGACTTTCAAGCAATCCTCCTGGTGTTGGTCCTCCCTTCATATCAAGTGATGCATATCAAATGATGTATCATTTGGGAACTTAACAGAAAGCAAAATACTGTGTTCTAACCAGCCCTCCAGGTGGTTCTGATGGATGCTAAAGTTTAAGAACCAATTTTTTTTAAACATATGAACACACAGATTTCCATAAAATATTCTGTAAAAAAAA